GGGTGATGAAATCCCTTACCTTATCTTGATTTGGGTTTTGCCCTTAAGAATGTTTTAAGTGTGTGCCAAATCAAGTGCTACAATCACTTTGGTGAATTCCTACACTATATGAAATGCAACCCTAGAAATTAAAAACGACTAAAAAGGATGATAAAAAGAAAATCTTTATATTTTTTAATTATGGTCAATAACAATCAAATGTGAGAAGGAGGAACATTGTTTGAGTTTATTATCTTGTTAGTTAATGTTCAAGTGAAAGGTGGATTTTATTATGGCCAACAAAAATAATTTTTTTAAAATCCCAATTGTCTCTAATTGTGAAGCTAGCTAAAGAGGTGGAATTAAAAACTAGAAAGAGGACTTACCCGAAGCAATTCTCTAAGTTCTTGATCTTCAATCCAAGACTTTCAAGCTCCAAGTGGTTCCTTCACAAGAAAAACACACAAGTTAAAGAACCAAAATAATAAAATCCTATTTTAGCACCTTCCCCGGTAACGGCGCTAAAAACTTGATGCAGCATAATTATGTACCAAAATTACAAGTGCATAATTGATCAAGTTATAGTATAAAAAGTTATCGATCTCACGAGGAAGGTGATTTTAAGAGATTATTAGAATATGTTCTTATATTGTGTGCGTGACAAAAATAGGATTAAAGAATAAGTGTGATTATGGAGAGAGATATGATGAGTGGTTGTTTTGATTTATGTGCAAGTAACAATAAATTGAATTTTAGAGAAAGAAATAAGAATCAAAGAATAAATGAAATCACAAGGCAAGAAAGAAGAATGAATAAAATCAAGAAATAAAACCAAGAATGAAAAGAAAGTTTAAGAAGGTCAAGATGGAGGATTAAAAAGATGTAAGAAATCTAGAATATAATCCACTAGCTAATTTTAATTACAAAATACAAACTATTCTCTTTTTATCATAATTCAACTTAGATTTATTAAGCATAGACTATCAAACCATTTAAGGAAAGTATAACCTATCAAATTATCATCTAAGTCAAAATTACTATTCATGATAAGAACAACAAGAAGATAATAATCCTAGAATTCATAAGCATAACCTATCAAACCATTTAAGATAAGTATAGATTATCAAATTCGTCTTCTACCGATTAGTTCTCTAGTTGATTATCCTAAACATGAATATTTTAAGTAAAAGAGAATAATTCATACAATATAAAGAAAATTAGACTAGTTTTATGCAATTCTAAGATTCCTACAAGAATTAATTTCACATCTCAAGAAATAAAAACAAGAAGAAAAAGAACTAATTACAAAAATAAAAATCTAAACTATGAACAAGAAATAAATCTAACTACAAAGAATAAAAATCTAAACTACAAAATAAATTACAGAAATTAAATGCAAGAAAATAAATCTACTCTACAAATTAAAGTGCAAAAAGAAATAAAAAAGACAAGAAAATAAATCTACACTATAAGTATGAATGTAAATCTAACTAATAAGCAATAATAAAGAAATTACAAAAAAAATAAAAGAGGAAAATAAAAAAAATGCAAACCTTCAAATTGTTCTTCATCTCCATCCTCACCATTCAACAAAGAGGAGAAAATAAAATTTAAAGAGGAGAAAAATTATTATTATTAATTGCAACAAAAGTTATAATTTTTGGAAGGCCTTCTCAATTAAGAGTAGCCCTCCTATCTAAATGGAGTTACAAAATTTTTCACACCTCTAACCTCTCACTCTCTACCCCTATTTATAGTAAACATCAGTGAATGAGAGCCATTGGATTGAAATCTTATCTAAAAATAACAAATTTTAGCCTTAGATTCGTAACTAATTGCCCAGTGTATCGATACCAGCATCGATAGGGGTATCGATGCTGGCATCGATACGGGCATCGATGCGGGCATCGATACGGGCATCGATGCGGGCATCGATGCCCCCATCGATGCTGGCATCGATGTCAAGCTCTCTTCTTTTGCTGCCCGCAGAATTCTTCTTCTATTGGATTTTAGGCTTGGACAATGGGCTTTGCTTGTACTTTTGGGCTTCAACATTTGGACTTTGGCATTTTCTCTTGATTTTCCACTTGGGCTTTGATTTATTTCTTCATTAAATATTTGAAAGCATTCCTTTGGCTTCATGGGCTTCATTTCTTCACTAAATCAAGAGTTTTTTGTTGAGAGATTGGAGTTTGAGATTTATTCTTCATTAACCTGCAATTAAAGATAAAAACAATTAATTAGTGGTATAATTAAAGATAAAAACAATTATTAGTAGTATATTTATTCATATAAAATAGATAATGAGGGTATAAAACTGTAATAAATTAGTAGTATATTTATTCATATAAAATAGATAATGAGGGTATAAAACTGTAATAAAATATGATTATCAAACACAAATAAAGATTCCTGCACATAGTATTACTGTTAGAGGATCAAAGTTAGGATCTCTAATAGGCTCTCCTTTGCTCAAGTCAATTAATTATATATTGAGTAGTTTTTAAGATACTGAAATTAGAGAGTATTCTCTAGTTCTAATTGTTCATACCTTCATGTAGAAGAAAGGACCCTATTTATAGGAATCTTTAGGGGCTACTTGCTAATTTGACTTGGTCGGTGTGAGCAGTTTGATCAAGTGGCTTTGTACATATATCGATCGCAGTACATGCAAATCCCCTTACGTTTAATGAGACAACGATAGGGAGATTGAGGTGCCGAGGAGTCATTATGACTCTGGCGGGGGAAGGGCTCACAATGACTCTAGCCATACATTAAATATGATGGTGAATGGGTTACATAGCTAGGGTTGATGAAGTTGGTAGGTCAACTCATCCTTTGAGTCATTCCATAATGAAGTTGAGGGAGGGATCTCATTCATCTTGGAATTTCTGACTCCTTGAGTGGATCCAGCCTAGAAGTGTTATTCTTGGTCCAGATCGAGAGTCCAACTTAAAGACGCCATTCGTCTCGGATTTGTCTCTAAATTACGTCGGTCGTGTGCATATCGGGGTCGAGTTCCTTGACAGGGAGAGGTCGAACAGCTGAACATGACATGTGTATGTCTTAGGGGGGTTCATTATACTTAGTGAATTTCGGGGTACAATAGTAACGTGTATTATAGGGGTGCAAGGGACCGAATCAATGAAAAACTAAATTCAGGGGGATTTTGGCTTTTGACTTCTTAACTCGGGGGGTGCAAGCTTTGCTTTTAAAATATAAGGGGGCGAAAGCAAGTTTCCCTTATTTCTTTATGTCATTTTTGAATAACAGGTAGAAAAAGTTAACTTTTATTAGGTAGAAAAATATAAAGAAAAAGAAGATTACTCCTCATTTCTTGGGTTGTTTGGTTTGTATACAAAAATCCCATATTTAAAATCTTATTTGTTTGCAATGAATATTAAAGTATATATGTATTAGGGAATCTAACCAAAGCCTGTTTGATTGCACATGCATTTTATTGATGATATGTGACTGAAATAACAAAATCAGGTGAAATCAACCTAAATTTAGATAACTATATTAGATGTCTTTATCTTAAATGGCAATCCTAAATTCATGACACAAAAAATAACAAATAAATAATGTATTTGTTAGAGATATAGGATTTTAAGGTTGTGGGTTCTATTTTTCAATGCAAAACTCATCAAATACATGAAAACAACCGGACACAAAAGTGTACATTGTAGTTTAATTATGGAAGAATAATTTCAATAAATTATAGCATAGCATTTTACACATATCCAATAATAACTTCAATTTCCTTCAATAGTACAATATGTCCATCACACGTATAATATGGTATAGGCAGCTATTGGTAATAATCTGGTTTGATTTGTTTCTTGAACAAAATTCTGTTGCCTTAAAAAACTCATTCCAAAAATGAAATTTTAACTTATGCTGCATACTGTAGTCTGTCACATTTTGCGAATACCTAATATGTGGAAGGTTGCCAATAATACCTTCAATTTATTTTGTTAATTCCAATAATAGCTAGCCGACATATACTTCGCATATATATAATGTGCCGGTACATCTAACAATTGTTTTGTTGATTCCAATAACAGCAAGCCAACATATACCTCGCATACATATAATGTGCCGGTACATCTAACAATATATCTTTGGTACATATTGACTTGTTCTTAACAATTTTTTATTTTTTTAATGATACTTCTTAACAAAATTTAGTTGTTATAAACAACTCATTTATGAGTCTCTATAAAAAAATTCTCTCTCCGCACTTGGAAAGATGTTACGAGTGGAAAATAGCAGACGAATCCCAAGAGCATATCATGTGATCCTCTTTCGCCAAATTCAAAGGTAAAGCAGAGTCTAAACGTGATAATCCCACAAGTCCATTGACAAGGAGAAAGGGGGGCTTAACTTGTCATTTTATTTGAAAAGTGACATGAGAAGCACAGCGGAGAGTCCAACTTCAGAAAAAGCTCATTGACGCTGGAAAAGGAAGCACCGAAATCAAAAGGCATTGAAAAGGAAGCGAGGGATGACTAGTGAATCATACTACTTTTTCAAACAGGACAAAGGATCACCTACACTAAAAAACATTAAAGAATTACCTGCAA